GATCATTGTCTTCACCACCATCACCCTAAGCTGCCCTTCCCCCCAGAAGACTAAAACTTTCAGTGTGGGTAAAGGCTATAGGAAGAAAGGGGTGAATAAGGACAGAGCTTCTTGGTGTTTTGTTGTTTGTTTTTGTATTTTGAGACAGCATTACTCTATGTTGCCTGTGTTGCCCATGCTGGCCTCAGACTGGCAATTCTCCTGCTGCAGCCTACTGAGTAGCTGGGACTATGAATATATCCCACCGTGCCAGACCTCTTTTTAGTGTTGAGCTGAGTCCTCTTGCTGTGTCTAACATGAGAAACAGATGGGGTAGCGAGGAACTTAGGAGAGAATAACTTTCTCTGCTCCCCACCCCCCTCCAGTATTGAGGATTGAACCCAAGGGCACTTTACCACCAAGCTACATCCCTAGCCTTTTTAAATTTTGAGATAGGGTCTCACTAAGTTGCCCAGGCCTCGAATTTGGATCCTTCAGACTCAAGCTTCCTGAGTAGCTGGGATTACAGGTGTGTATCATTGTACTTTGCTTCCCTGTTCTCTTACATGAGGACTCTGACAGGCATTGCCACTTCTGATTATTAAAGTCCTCCCCCCCCCCCACACACACACATTCTGATCTCCCTTTCTCTTGCTGTTTCCAGATTCTTCTTGTTTTTTCCTTCAAGAGGACTGAAAATAAAAGGTTGCATGCCTTTGCAGACCCTTTGAACCATCTTGTTCCTGACTTTGTCATCTCTTTCCTCTTTATTGTCCCTGTATTTTGTTTTCTCTTATATCACTATTAATAGAGTGTAATGTATGTAGTAACTATTTAGGTTTAATCTCTTATTCTGACACTAGCTCTATGACCCTGGGCAAATTACTTAATTCTGTGACTCTCTCCAGACTCTGTATCAGTATTATGAAGGTTGCTGTGAAAATTAATACTTTCATATTATGAACTCAGTATAATTTGCTTAGTATAGTTAATGCTTAATAATCATTGAAAAAATATTAGCTCTTAATTTTATAAGGGTAAAATAAAAGTAGGATAAGAACACTTTTTTTTCCCACTTGAACAGATTCTAGATAAAGAATGGGGGGTGAGTTTGGGCCTGTGTATGTATGCATACACGTGCTTATGCAATTGTATTTGGGAGTTTGGAGACTAGGAAGATGGGGGAAGAGTTCCAGTTCTTCTCTTAATCCTCAGCTTATGGGTAGGAAAGTTAACATTGTCACCTGGAGCATTGACTTTCCTACTTCTGCCCCACTATCCACAAGAGACTAAATGTTACACTGCTTACTGTTTATTAGCTTGGGGCATGCCCTGCACATACGAAAACTGGGCAAAGACTAATGATAGGATAGCTGCTAATGTACTTCTTGGAGGGTGTTTTGGGAAAAGGAGAAAAGACTTAAAGCTCATCTTACAATTTCTTCTGTATTCCTTTGAGTAGTAAGGGGAAAACCATTTTGACTCAGGCCAAAAGCTAGGGATAGAATTGTAGATAAAGCAGTTCCCTAAGGGATGATACAATGCACAACACTGTAGTTACTTGCCCAGTCTCAACTTGTTTTGTAGTTGGTATAGGGTGGGGTCAGTCTGGTAGTAGAATGAACAAGGCAGGGAAAGCATGATGGCACATTGAACCCTTAGTATCCTTGCTGCCTGTTCTGGATCATGCTGGTGTCACAGGAGCTTTCCTTATGTTATTATTTGTCAGGCAAGGTTGTTTTGCCACCCCCAACTTGTAACATCCTGGAAATTGCCCTCTAGGTATAGTGGACTCAAAGATTATTTGAAATGCTTAATCACTTTTTTTTTTTTTTTGCAGACAAAGCAAACAACTGTCAGTTTTGTTTCATGAATTTTGATGAAACTGTTGAGGAAACCTAGGAGTAGGGACTGCAGAATAGCAGACATTAGCTGGATTGTCTTAAGAAAACTTCAGATTTCCTATTCTATGGAGGCTGGGAGAGTTTTATAATCTGGGGGACTGTTTTGAATCAAGCTCTCCAGAGAAAGGAACTCTCCCCTTCCTTTCTCATCCTCTGTCCATCTGTCTTGGACTACATGTCCCAACCCTCATCCCACAAGCACTTTTGTGTTTTATTGTTGTTTGCATTACCATGGATTGAACCCAGGGGTGTTCAATCTGAGCCACATACATCCCCAGTCCTTTTTTTTTTTAATTTTGAGGCAGGGTCTTGTTAAATTGATGAGGCTGGCTGCAAACTTGCAATCTTTCAGCCTCTGCCTCTTGAGTTGCTAGGGTTACAAGTGTGCACCACACACCCAGATCCATAGTGGTTTTTCTCTTGCTCCATGGACCCCATCTTCTTAGTCCTAGAGCAAAAGGTTTCCTCTTTTAGATCCTCTTCAATTCCTGGTCTCCCAAGTATAAATGTCGCGCTTGATTAGGGAGAAGAGCTTGGCACTGATTTCTAAACTCTTTGACTGCTTTTATTTTTCTTTTTTCAGGTTCAAGTGCTGGATTGTGTCATGTGACCATCCCAAAACTCAGAGCACCCTATGGCCATCTTTGCCCTCTGTCACATAACTTGAAAACTACCTGATGGCCTTTTTGCAGTGGTTCCCTCGAGGAAGCCTTGATCTCAGTGAAGAAGTCCTTTCCTGGCATTCCAGTGCCCCAGTCAGCCCCATACTCCTCAGACACCCTTAACAAACAAAGGCAATCACACACATGATGTAACAAATACACAAAGTAAATAATTACACCAGTAATGATATGTTCTGAGGGGCACTGGCCAGGTCCACACACTTAAGGTGGGGGAAGGGTGCCAGCCCCCACTGGGTTGCTGGGTTGTGTCTCCAAGCTTTTCTATCCCATGCCTCTTTGGGGATAGGGAGGAACAGGGGACTGCAATTTCAACTCAGATTTATATTCCTAAGAGAAATGACCCCTTTCCTGACTCTGCAAAGGTCTTTATTTGGTGGTATTAAAGGGCAATTTTTTTTAAGTGTCCCCCAAGTTTAATGCCCTAGCTGTTTAGATTTTGTAGAGGGAAGTTACCTAATGTTTATTGCCCAGTCCCCACCCTATCCAAGATCAAGAGGTATTTGACCTTGCGGGGAAGCATGTGCTATTCTTCACTTTTCTGCTCCTCTCCTTCCACCAAAGAAATGTGAATGGTCAGGTGTGTCTTGTTCTCCAAGACTGGGGCAGAAGGGTGAAGAATAGGGCCAGAGAGGAGAGACTTGGGGTTAAAATAGCTGCTATATGGAAGGTGAGTTGAAAAGCTTGACAGTCCCTGTTCATTCCTCTACTGAAACACCTTATCTCATTTTCTCACTATGAGAATAGAAGTAAGATGCTAAATTTCACCAGCATCACCTTCCCAAGGGTGGTCACCATACCTTTGCCCCTTCAGTGGTCTGGTCCAAGCAGGAGAGACGTGTGCTCAGGAAGAATAAGCCTTCCAGGTCTGCTCTCCACCTCAGGCTTTACTTCAGTTCAGTACTGTTTCTACCAGACCGTAATTGCTGGATCTACTTAAGAGTACCATTTTGCTGTAGGTCTCCGCGCCCACCCCCCCCCCAGCCCACCCCCTGCTTTCCTGACATCCTTAGGCTCTTGCCTGGAGCCAAGAGATCTGCTGGTGAGGTATGGATAGGGTGTGGAGATTCTCAACTCCTTGGCTTCAGGCACTGTCCATCTGCGAGGCAGGGGAACTTGTACTTTCTGAAGCCTGTGACTCCTCTAAGCCTCACATATCTTCACCACTACTCTGGTGCCCTGGTTATCTTGTCCCACAGCGAGAGGTATTTTATGTCCATAAAGTGCCCGTGGTAAGTGCTCAGAATTCATCTCTTGGCTGTGGCGGGTGCTGCTATTTCTTATTCCATCGAGGGGAAGAAACTGAGGCACAGTGAGTCCAGAGGAGAGTGAGTCAGGATTATGGGAGGAATGAATTGGCCCAGCTAGTGAGTTGAAGTGGCAACTGCTTTCTGCCTGCTTCCTAGCCTTTCAAACCAGGGAATCTCCTTCCTTCCCATTCTTTGCCGTCAACTGGCCTTGTCAGATGCCTTTCCCCACTGTACTATCCCCTCCCTGCTTCCAGGTACTTCTATACTCCAAAAATAAAAGATTAAAAATTATATAGACACTCTGCTCCCTTTTTCTCCCTCCTTCCACCCTGAGCTTTGGGGGGTGGGGGACTAAAATGTCCCCCTTCCAGAATCCCTTCCACCTTGGTCTACAGATTCTATTCCCTAGCCCAGAGCAGTGATTTGGATTCAAATGCCCTGTAACCTTCAGCCTCCTTATTATTCCTTTCTTGACCCTTTATAATCTTACCCAGACCTGGGGGACTTTGGGGTCTCTACTCTTTTATTGACCTGAAGATAGAGGCTGGGAGCAGGGGCATTCCACAGGCTCTTTGGTCTCTCTCGGCTGAGGGTAATTTGGGCATAAACAGGCTATACCCTCTGACTAAATCAATACCTTGGAGAAGGTGGGTCTGAGGGTTAGTTTAGTGGCGCTCTCATAGATCCTGGATGTTGAGGATTTCCCCTCCCTCAGCTCTTAAACGCCAATCTTGTACTATTTCCATGGCCACTCAGTTCAACCCATTTGGTTAGTTAGGTTGCTTATGGGTTAGAAACACATATATCAGCCCTCTTGCCCTTTACTCCCATTCCCAACCCTGGAGGCTTTATACAAGTGCTTAAGTGGGTGGGTATTGGGGAAGAGCAGGGTTTGGGGCATAAGGGACAAATGGGGCATAGTGGGCAGGGGCCCTCCTATTCCAGTAAAGCCAAGTACCCAAAAATAAAAAGAAAAAACAAAGAAAAGTCACAATAAATAAATAAATAAAATTCCCAAATCCTTACTTTTGCCCCTGCCCTTGCTTCCCTTCCCCTGGTTATTGTTGTAGGGGGAGAGGGAAGATGCTAAGAATGGATTTTTTATTTCCTCTCCTACTGGATAGTCAGGGGATCTCCCCAAACTATACCAAGCCCCTCACCTTGCCAGTGGAAGAAAGGAGGCTTGGTGTGGGGCTTTCATTTATTACTCCATTTCTGTCTCTTTCTCATTGTTTGTCTCTGCCTAGTCTCTTGTCTCTTCTGCCTCTCTATTCCTTTGCCTTCTCAATGTTGCTGTTTGTTCCTGTCTCTATCCCTCTGTACTTCTGTCTCTACATCTCTCTTCTTGCCAAACCTTCTTACCTGCAAACATCAAACACTCCACCCTAACTATGTCTGTCCCTCCTTTCCCGTTTCCCCAACCCCTTGTCCCTCAACCCCCACCTGCCTCCCTCTGTTGTATTGCACACTGCTTGGTCAGGGAACAAGGTGTGATGTTCATGGGAAGAGGTGGAGGGAGCTCTAGGGCTTGGGGAGATGGGGGCCAGGGCTGGGGTCTCAGGGTAGGGTCTGTGGGGAAGGCATCCACTGTCCCCCACCTTAGGAGCAGCCACAACGATCCACCACCATGCCAGGGATCTTGCCGTAGATAATCTGCTGCTTGTCATTGAAGTAGAGCATGTTGATAGGGGACATCTTGGTAGGGGTGCAGCAGGGCCCAGCAGAGCCTCTCGGATTGGCCTGTTGCACCAAGTGGGTATGCGGATACTTTTGCATGAACATGTACTCGCATTGGCCGGAGCAGTAGTTGGCTTTGTAGCGCTTAGGTGCGATGATCCAGTCCCAACCAAAAGCCTCAAAGTCCACTGTGAGGGGATATCGGCAGCAGCGGGACTCGCTTGAGTGCTCATCACAATCCAGGCCTAGGTTCCGCCGGGACCGTTTTGTGTTCTCTAGGACTCGAAGCTCCATGAAAGGATGCTGAAGGTCAGGGAGAGGGGAAAGAGATGTGACATAGCCCTGAAAAGTTCTTCCCTGTCCCCCCCACCCCCATCTGCCTCTCAATAGTGGCATCAGAACAGAAACCATTGACTTCTTGGCTTTTCCATTGCCCCACCCACCCCATCCTTATCTTGAACTCACTTTTCTTGCCATCTACCATCTCTCAACTCAGCCTTCCCTAGTTCTTTGTCCTGGCAACCTGACCTTCATCAGCCCCTTGGCTCAGGGCCTCATCAGTGTCCAGTTTTTGGGTTCCATTATCTGACACCTTTACCCCAAATCCAGTTTTCAGCTGCTGCCTGGCTTGGTTCCCTGAAAAGTGACAGTTGCCACCCCATCCTCCAACTCATCTAGAATCAGCTCCTGGCCTAAGAAGTAATACTTTCCCCACCTCCCTTTATGTTCCTGGTCTACTTTTTCTAACATCCCCACCTCCTCAGGGCCAGGATACACATATCCACCACCACTTCAGGCCCCCTGCTCACCAGCCCCTCAGCTCCTGGCCCCAGGGAGGTGACAGCCAGGTCTGTGCCACTGGGATCAAAGGCGTTGATCTCGATGCCCCAGTTGCTCTGTGGCTGGCGGAACCAGCTGTGTAGCACTTGCTTGAAGTCGATGCTCTGCCAGTGGCCGGAGCGCGAGTGCAGCTCAATCTTGAGTGAACGGATACGGATGTGACGGCGGCCTCCACCCCCTCCCCCTGCGGTCCCTTCCCCAGTTAGGGGTTTCAGTCGCAAGATCTGCAGGTAGACTGTGGCTGGGCGGGGCACAGGCCGAAGGTACACCCACAGCTGTGCCTTCAGTACCTTTGTGAACATCACCTTGGGGCTGAAGTGGAAATGGCAACAGAGAGGACTGCCATCTGTCTGCACTGCAGGATCCGCTGATAAGAGAGAAGGGAGCACAACATCAGCAAAGGGTATTTGTAGAAAGGATCAGCATCCCTGGGTGGCATTGGCAGTTTGGACTCCTCAGCCTGAGTGTTTCAGCTTTTGCCCTTCTCCTGTGACTATCTTATGGATTATCTGTATGGGGTTTCGGGTACTGAAAACTGCCTCCTCACTTTGGATGAGGGCTCTATCAGTCTTTACTGATCTGTACCAATTCCCTAATCCATTTACTTATCCTAATACACAGGTTCCCCTCTACATTTTAACTTGTAAAGGTAATTATCAGGGAATTCTCCCTTCCCTTTCCCTAACTATTCCCAGAATGTAAGGCTCCAACTTTTTCTGAATCTTTAAGCTCTTCATAGAAGCCATACCTCTTACCACACCTGCTGTCCTTAGGTCACCTTGCCCCATTTCTGCTGATTTGTCTGATGGGCAGGTGGAACCTGGCATCCCCCCGGCAAAAAAAAAAAAAAGGTGGCCTCAGAGGATATAACTCAGGGTCCAGAGGGAATGTAGGCTAAATTTATCTTATAAACTAAACCACTGAAATCTAGGCTTGTGTCATCCCCGGTAGCACCAGAATGAAACTACCCAAGCACATCCTATGCATCTGACTCCTCATTCCTTTTCTCCTCAAAAGAAGTTTCCTTAGCTGCTTTCTCATCATCACCACCATTAGTGCTTCAGATTTTGAGGGAGGGAAAAATTGTGTTTCTTCCTACTTTCCCAAAGCATCAGAAATAATTCGGGCTGGGGATATAGCTCAGTTGGTAGAGTGCTTACCTTCATTCACAAGGCCCTGGGTTCAGTCCCCAACACCACAAAAACAAAACAAACAATAATTCAACATACCATATCAACTATAATCAGCAGGGTACAGTTGGTGCACACTTGTAATACCAGCTACTCAAGAAGGCTAAGGCAGGAGGATGGCAAGTCTAAGACCAGCCTTAGCAACTTAGCAAGACCCTGTCTCAAAACTTAGGGGAAAAAAGGGATGGGGATATATGTAGCTCAGTGGTAGAGGAAGTGCCCAGCATGTGTGAAGCCCTGGGTTCAATCCCTAGCACGACAAACAAAATTCAGTAGCTTTTTCTCCCCTGAGATTCCTTTGTTTGTTTGTTTTTTGGTCCAGGACCACCAGCAAGTCTACAGAGGTTCAGTATCCCAACTTCACATCTTGACCCTTTCCCCCTTGTTCTGGACCATAAATTAAACCTTGGGGATTAAAGATGATGCTTAATATATCCCTGTGCTCCCAGCTTCTTCCAGTTCCATTTCCTAATGTCTTAGATAGTTTGGGAATGCCCTGAATCATGTTTCTCAAGAATGACCATTCTCATTCTAGATAAGAAGAATCTGGAATGAGCTTTTCCAGGCCCATATAGCTATGATGCAGAAGTCCAGGTAGGCCCTTAGGTATTATGCCCACATAACATTCTGTGTAGTCATGGAGGACTTAACATCCATGAACACTCTCCCACTTCACTCCAGGAGAGGAGGACCTTCTGAATAGGATAGGAAGAAAGTCCTTTGTAATCTTCATATTTTAGGTCACAATACACAAAGTCCTCTGCATCATCGTCTTCCTTGTTTCTCTGAGGTGCAGTGTTCTGTTAGTCCTCCCATTTATCCTACTGGCTGGAGCTTCAGTAATGATGTAATAGAGTGGGGCTTGGGGAATGGAAATTCAGAGATTAGGAGAGTAGCTGGGGCAAGGAAGCTACTGGTGAGCTCTGGAATGACAAGCAACAATCCAAATGGCATATTATGCCTAACTTAGGCATAGGAAATGTCTATTTCTTGCTATTAAGATACTCATTTTGAGGGTGGACACTGTCAATACTATATATTTTACTCACCACTGTAGCTTTAGTGCGTCCCATAGTACCAAGCAGTATTCAATAAATACATGCTGAATGAACTCCCAATTTTCAGTTACACAGGCAAGTGCTTGAGAGTTCTTCCTAAACTGTCCTTGGCTACATTGAAGTGGGTTTAACCACTGTTTGACTCCTCATCTGGCCTTTCCCATAGACTTCTTGGTATGATAGTAATGATTCTTGATTTAGGTGCTGAGCATTAAAGAATGTGAAAATAGTAGTAGTTTCTCAATAAGTGTTTGGTTTTCTAAACTCGAAACATACCCTACTACCTTTAGCTGACCTAAGATTTGAAGGTGAGGGATTGGGCACTTGATCCTTTGGTTCCTTCAGATAAAGGATTGCCCATCCCAGGGAATCCTCATACACTTCTCCACTGGATGGGAGACTAGTCAGTACTACTAGGGGACAGGACATAGGGAGAAAGTAAAGAGAAAGGTGAAGAGTCAGGAAAGACTGGAGAAGGTGAGGGAAGTAAGAATCAAGAAGATCCAGGAATGAAGTCAGGTTAGTAGAGATAGGCAGAAAAACGGAGGTTGTAGAAAGATTGTGGTGTGAGAAGAAATAAGTTTGGGAGTTGGAGAACACCAGGGTTGAGTAGAAAGGAGTGGGTGGGGGTTAAAAAGCTAGAGGTGGGAGGGAGCTAAACCTGGTGGGGTAAAGATAAGAGGACAGAAAAGGTAGAGAGGGAGAAACAAAGAATAAGCAGGTAGAGCTATAGAGGGAAAGGGGCTTGGGAGAATCCTTAACAGCTCTGATGGGAAAGGGAGGGGGCCACATGTGTGTTGGATTGATCTGGTTGGTGGCAGGCAGCAGGTCAGGTTTAGTAGGCGGTGCTGCTGGGGGAGAGGTCATTGCACTATTTTCAGCAAAAGCCCAACCCCCTCCTTACTTACGGCCTCCCCTTTCCACCCCCAACTACACACCCTTTTCCAACCCAGGCTAGAAGGCCTAGGGGCAGGAGGTTGGGCTGAGAGGGCAGGGGCCTCTCTGTATGGGGAGGAGAGAGAAACTGAGGGGCTGGGCTCGGCTCCCAGAAGGGCAGGGGGCTGGGTTCCCAGGATGAAGGCTGGGGTGGGAGAGCCTGAGAGGGTAGAGGGAACTAGGGCAAGCAAAGCAGTCTAGGCGAGGTGGGGGCTGGGGTCCAGGGTTGAAGGCTGGGGGAGGGGAGACAGGGGGAGGGGAGCAGAGGCCATCTCTGCTGACAAACACCTCCCCCGATTAGCAGAGCACAAGTCTCTTATTAAAGCGGGTCCCTGGGGATTAGACTATAAAAGTCTCTTTTTCCTTTTCCCCTCTCTCCCTCCCCCCTCCCTCCACTCCCCCTCCCTCTCTTAAGAGCTCAGCTAGGCTCTTAAAGGGGACGTACAATACCTGGCTGGAGACCCAGTTCCCTAGTTACCCAAGTACTGTTGGTGGCACAAGAGTGGAAGTTGGGGTGAGACACCAACTGCTGGTGCCTCCTTCAGTCTTAACCTTCATTGCCCCATCCATGCATGCAGGGTCCCTTCACTTCCCACATCCCCACTACAGAGCTAATTCTGAGCTCAGACCTATAGCTAAGGAATGCTAGGCATAGTGAGGAGCAAGGGGAAGTCCAAGGCCCTGTCACCCATCCTGGGAATTCTCACACACTATACCACACAGACCAGAGCATCTTTTCCCTCTGTACCCTTCATCTTCTTCCAGCAAACTCTTGATCAGAATTCTTCTACTACTGTTTCCTAAAATCCCCACCCCCACCCCTGCCCTAGGTCAATCTCAGACTGACCCCAGCTTCCATAAGCAGAAGTCTTAAAAGGAGCAGAAGGGAGACTGAGGAAACAGGATCAGATCTCCAGCCCTTGGTGCGGGGTGCATAGCTCGCCTGTGTGCGCGTGCACACAAACACACATACAAACACATACACACACAAATCCAGTTAGTTTTCCTGGTTAGTTTTCTTTACAGTCCTGAATAAGTACGGTTCAGTTGAGTTCTACAGAAACACATTTGGCATTACCAGGTACTAAACCTCCCAGATGCACACCTGGGTTCCTGTGCCTCTCCTATGGATGTGGGCCACTAGGACCCTCAGCCCCCAGCTTTTTATTACCCATCTGCCAATAAACCAGTCTCCCCCCTCTTCTGTTCAGAGCCATAAACCAAACTGGGGGGTGGGGGACCTTGCCAAACCACCAGGGAATAAGAGAGGGCTTGGTTCCCTGGAGTTGAAGAGTCAGGGGAGACTCAGTGGGGGAGGGGAAGAGGGAGTCACCTGACCTTAGGGAGAGATAGAGTTGGGGGTAGTGGTATTGGCCTGGATTTTCCAGGCCATAAAATTTCAAAGCAGCTCATGTCTATTAACGTGTTCAGTATTCAGCTTCCTTAAGCCAGGGACTCGGATGCCTGGGTCTCCCCCAACACCCGTCCAGTTTTTTCTCATTCTCCCTTGGGTCTTCCTCTCTCTTAAGTCCAGTTGCCATCGGGCCCGGTGAATAAGGGACGGAACACTGAGGTTTAAGTAACCAAATGATTGTCCTTAAGCCCCCAGCGCAATGAAATTATCTTGAGATCGGTCGGTACCAAGAAGACAGTTTTCCTGGCCCCTTGGGATACCCAGTGTGAGACACGGCTCAGGATGAAAAGGGTGCCAGCTGGGCTGCCAGGAGGAACACTGGGTTCTGGGATCCTATTCCTGGGACAGAGAGGGGCACTCGGTTCTCTGGAGCCGGGTGGGCGCGTTGCGGAGCATCGGGCGGGGAGTTGGTGCCAGGACCATGGGAAGACAGAGTACTGCGGCCCAGCTGGGAGCCTCCCAATTCTGTTCTCTAGTCATCCCCACCCGTGGCCCTTCAGGACAGAGTGTCTGCCTAGTCCCCAAAGCTGCGGGCCTCAGCTTCCCCCCGCCCCCGACTCCTTTAACGGGGGTCTTTCTCGCACACCGGGGTTGGGAGGCAGTATCTTGCAACCCGTCGCGTTTGCCCCCTCCCACCTCCAGGAACAGGGCCTGCACACAACTCCGTTGCCCAGCTTCACCGCTGGAAAAAAGTTCTGTGGAATAGCCCCGGGTCCCTAATCCATCAAGTTTTCGCAGAAAACGCTTCCGGGCCGAAGCAGCCGGGAGCGCCCGGCTTGGAAGCCAGAGGCGCCCTTCCCAGAGCCGAGCCAGCAACGCACCGCTTGAGCCCCGAAGCCCACTTACTCTCCTGGGCCATGCTAATGACGGTCTCGGTGGTGGCGTGGTACTCGTCTTCCTCCAGGAAGTCCTCGGGCTGCAGCGCGTCGCCCTGGAAGTCATGCAGGTCCAGGATCTGCTGCAGCGGCGGCGCCTTGGGCAGCAGCTGCTTCACCACCTCTCGGCTGATGTTGGGCGCCTCCTTGAGCCGCAGTTTGCTTAGGATCTGCGACTTGATGCTCTCCAGGCGCAGCTCGCGGCTATGCTGCCGCCACACGCACACGGGGCAGCCGTCCGGCTCGGGCGCCACGGACGGGGCCGGCCGACTGGAACGCTCCCCCCCGGCCCCGGCCGCCGCCGCCGCCGCCGCCGCCGCCGCCGCGGGGCCCTCGGCCGCCTCCCCCCGGGGCCGCAGCTCCAGGGCGAGGAGCAGGAAGCCCAGCAGCAGCGGGGCCGCGAGCACCATGCTGGAGGGGAGGGGAGGAGGACTGGGGGGCGGGGACGCCGGAGTCCCGCAGGGAGGGGGCGGAGGGAAGAGGGAGGGAGGAGGAGGGGGTCCGGGCGGCGCGGGATTGGGGGCTGCCCGGCCGAGGGGGGGCCGGGGGGGCCGGGGGCGGCGGGCGCGCGGGCGGGGCGGGCGAGCGGCCGGGGCGGGCGGCTGGGGGGGCCCGAGCCCGGGCCAGGCCCTTTATAGCCCCGGCCCCCGTGTCGTCAGCGGCCGCGATTGGCTGCGGAGCCAACAAAAGAGGTAGCGCTGTCATCCGAGGCGAGAGAGGGAGCCGGAGAGAGCGGAGGAAAAGAGAGAGGGAGGGAGCGAGGGAGCAAGGGCCCAGAGAAAGGTGAAGAGACAGGAGAGGGGGAGGGGGTAGGTATAGAGGGAAAGTCAGAGTCAGAGAGACCTAGGAGAGACTGGAGGGATAAGGGAAGAAGAGACAAATCCAGAGAGACAGGAAGAGAGGTAAGAGAGACAGAGAGACAGACAAAGGAGGGAAAAGAAGAGTCGGATGGGACTAGACAGAGGTGAGAGACTTAGTTAGAATAAGAGAAGGGGTAGAGTTAGGGTGGAGAGAATCGGAGACAGAGATAAAGGAATGTCCAGAGAGAGGTGCGGCTAAACAAGGGAAGACTGAGGGGACATAGAGATGGGAACAGGGGCAGAGGAACCAATAGGACAGAGACCAGTACCCTGGAAAGACAAAGGGAGAGGGCCACAGACTGGGAGATACCAAGGGAGCCCCTGAGAAGGCAGACCAAAGGATCAGGGCAAAAGCAGACTCCTGAGGGAAGGGGTGACAGCCACAAGAGTCAACCTTGGTGGGAGCACAGAGAGCCCAAAAGGGAGAAGGTGAAGAACTTGAGTCCAAAAGAGCCCCGTCTGCCAGAGGTAGCTAAAGAAGAAGACATGAGGAACCAGACTTAGTGGTACACACCTGCAATCCTGGCCACTAATGACGCTGAGAGAGGAGAATTGCAAGTTTGAGGCCAGCCTGGCAATTTAGCAAGACGCTGTCTCAAAACAAAAAATTTAATGGGCTGGGGATGTAGCCCAGTGGTAGAGTGCTCTGGGTTCGATCCCCAGTACCTCCCAAAATAATTAATAAACTAATAAATTAATTAACATAAAATGAAGAACAAAATAATGAGGGAGCCCCAGCACAGTAGCAGGCAGGGTGGCACACCTTTCATCCTGGTGTCATCCCAAGGTTAAAGCAGGAAGATGCAAATTTGACAAACCTGGACAATTTAACAAGATCCTATCTCAAAATAAAGTGTTAATTTTTTAAATTTTATTAATTTTTTTTTGTTGTTGTAGATGGACACAATGCCTTTATTTTGTTGATTTATTTTTATGCAGTGCTGAGGGTCGAACCCAGTGCCTCACATGTGCTGGGCAAGTGCTCTATCACTGAGCCATAACCCCAGCCCTCAAAATAAAGTTTGTTTGTTTTTTAAATTTTTAAATATTTATTATTTTTAGTTGTAGTTGGACACAATACCTTTATTTTATTTATTTATTTTTATGTGTGCTGAGGATCAAACCCAGGGCCTCACACGTGCTAGGCAAGTGCTCTACTGCTGAGCCACAACCCCAGCTCCTGTTTGTTTTTTAAGAGAATGGGGGTGTAGCTCTTTGGTAGAGGATATGCCTACCATGTAGGCCCTGGGTTCAATACTCAGTATTTCCAGTATCCCTCATTCCACCCAAAACAACAACAAAAACCATGGAGGCCACTATGTTTTAGAGAGGAATCTGGAGCTATGAATATCTACCTATGCCTTTGGACCTGCAGGATCTTAGATGCCTGAGAAGGGGCTCAAAGTTGCATGGGTGAGGATGGGGAGAGGTCTATTTTCAGATGTCTGAAAGGCAGCAAGTTACAAGAGGAGAAATCCAGAGGTGGTCATCTTCAAGTATGACCATGGACAAAGCCAGAAGACAGAGTGAAAGAGTGCAAAGTGACAAAATTATTTGAAGGTGCTTAACATCTGATGCTGGATACCTCTTCCCAGACATCAGTTTCTCCAAGCTTTCTCCTCCACTTCCTCCTCCTCCTCCTTCTCTTTTGAGGCAGGATCTCACAAAGTTTACCAGGCTGGCTTCTAAATTGTCATCTTTCTGCCACTGCCTCTTGAGTATCTGGGGTTATAGGCATGTGCCACCACAACATCCAGCTCCAGCCTTATTCCGTTTCTTTCTTCTTTTTTTGATACTGGGACCTGAACTTAAGGATACTTTACCTTTGAGCTATATCCCCAGTCCTTTTGATTTTTTATTTTGATACAGGGTCTTACTAAGTTGTTCACAGCTTCACTGAATTGCTGAGGCTGGCCTCTAACTTGTGATCCTCTTGCCTTAGCCTCCCAAGCCACCAGCATTACAGGCATGGGCTACCATCCCTGGCCCAGGTTTATTTCTTAATCCCAAGTTCCAGAAGATCACTAGGAAAATTGAAGATGTTTGAGGAATCATGTTTTACTCATTTCCTGACATTTTCTTTTTTGATTCTAATTAGTTATACATGACAGTAGAATGCATTTTTTTTTTTTTTTTTTTGTGGTATCTGGGATTGAACACTCAGGGGCATTCAACCCCTGAGTCACATCCCCAGCCCTATTTTGTATTTTATTTAGAGACAGGGTCTCACTGAGTTTCTTAGTACCTTACAGTTGCTGAAGCTGGCTTTGAACTTGAGATCCTCCTGCCTCAGCTCCCAAGACGCAGGGATTACAGGCATGGGTCAAGGTGCCTGTCCAGTAGAATGCATTTTGACACATTGTACACAAATGGAGAATAACTTCTCATTCCTCTGGCTGTACATGGTGCTGAGTCACACCAGTAGTGTATTCATACATGTATATAGGGTAATAATGTCTATCTCATTCTACTATCCTTCCCATCCCTATCGCGCCACCCCTCCACTCACTCCCCTCTGCACAATCCAAAGTTTCTTCATTTTTTTTCCTGCCCGCCCCACAACTATGGATCAGCATCCACTCATTAGAGAAAACAAAGTTATGGAATGCTTCGGGAATTTGTGTGTCATTCTAGGGGTCATGCTAATCTTCTCTATATTGGTCCAAATTTAGTATATATGCTGCCAAAATAAGCACTCCTGGAACTTTCAATCCCCCCCCCAAGGAATTGAACCCAGGGGTGCTTAATACTAAGCCACATCCTTTTTTATTTTTCATTTTGAGACAGAGTCTTGCTAAATTGCTTAGTGCCTCGCTAAATTGCTGAGGCTGGCTTTTGAACTTGAAATCCTCTTGCCTGAGCCTCCTGAGATGCTGGGATTATAGGCATGTACCACCACCCGGGCACTTTAAATGTTTGTTGAATAAATGGATGAATTTCATTATTGAGTTGCTCAGACCAAGCCAAGGGGTTTACTCTTTGGAATTTGAGCCCAATAAAATATCATAAAGTTGACTTGGCATAAACATAAGAGCAAAGTTGGGTTGGAGAACTGGAGTGGAATAAGGAAGAAACTGAGGGTTCAGGTGTGAGGAGAGGGGCTAGGAAAAACAACCCATGGAGCTTTTAATAGATGATCCGTTTCCATAGGGAACAGGAACTGAGATAACAATGGAATGAACAAAAAAACTTAGCTCGTTCCTTCATTTGCCTTGGACCAAGATATGGGTATCTCAGAATTTCATCAAGTTTATTTTTTTAATTTTTTTATTCTTTTTACCTATAACATGGGGATCACAATGCCTACCCTCAGCTGGTTGTGAGAATTACATAGTGATCAGTCGATAGAAGTGTTCGTGAACTTTTCTGTGTGTGTGTGTGTGTGTGTGTGTGTGTGGTATGGAACATTGAATCCATGGCCTCACACACACTAGGCAAATGCTGTACCATGGAGCTATATCCTTATTCCTTTACAAGATTATATATCTGCATATATGTACATATATACATGTATATGTGTGTGTGTGTGTGTGTGTGTGTGTATATATATATATATATATATATATATATATATATATATATATATAAACTGATGATTGTACCCAGGGATGCTTTACCACTGAGATACATCCCCAGTCCTTTTTATTTTTAGATGGGGTCTCATTGCTGAGGGTCTTGCTAAGTTGCTGAGGTTGGCCTTGAACTTCTGATATTTCTGCCTACGCCTCATGAGTCACTTGGATTATAGGCATGTGCCACCAAGGTGTCTAAAATATTTATATTTTGAGACAGGGTCTTGCTGAGTTACCCAGACTGGCCTCAAACTTGTAATCCTCCTGCTTCTGCCTCTTGAGTAGAGTAGCTGGGATTATAGGTGGGTGCCATTGTACCTGACTTTTTTTCCCCTCCTTTTTTTTTTTGTGGTGCTAGGGATTGAACCCAGAGTTTTGTGCAAGGGAGGCAAGCACTCTACCAACTAAGCTATATCCCCAGCGTACTTTTTCTCCATCTTTTTAAAAAATATGTATTTATTTTTAAGTTGTAGTTGGACACAATAAATTGTATTTATTTATTAATATTTGAACCCAGGGCCTCGAATGTGCTAGGAGAGTGCTCTACCGCTGAGCCCCAGCCCCAGCCCCTTTTTCTCCTTCTTAATGATTCTTTTTTTTTTTTTTTTCCTTTTTGATCTCCCAGAGGCTTTACCACATTATTCTGGTTTGTCCCATCATCTAAAATGTTTCTGTAATGTCACTTCCTCAACAAACTTGTAAACACCTTGAGAGAAGAGGTGGTGTCATCTCCTTCTGCTCCTGTAAAGAAGGCAGCACATGGGCTAAGGGTATAGCTCGGTGGTAGAGTGCTTGCCCAGCATGTGTGAGCCCTGAAATTTGAGTATCAGTACTTTAAAAATGAATAAATGAATATGAAGGCAGCCCAATCTTTACTTCCTCACCAAACATGAATATAATGGCAGGTGCAGAGAAATGATATGCAAAGATAATACTCAGGGAACGGATAGTCCAAACAAGACAATAAATAAACAGTATTACCCCAAACTCCAGGACAGAGAGATGCCT